AAAAAAAACAAAAAACAAAAAACAAAAAACTATATTTACATTTTAAAGTGTTATCTTTTAAATTATAAAAAGAATGTAGCTTTATTAATGAAACAGTGGAAAATACAAAAATTAGAAAAATGTGTTATTTTATTATCTAAGTATATTAGCTATCAATATTTTGGAATATTTCCTTTAAGTCCTTTATTTTTCTCAGCAGATTTTTACCATGCTTGTTATATTGAGCATACAATTTTTGTTCTACTTGACTACCTAACATTTTAATGTAAGTATTTTACCATATTAACATAGAATCTTTATAAATATCTTCTTGATGGCTGTTACTTCATCTCATGTAAAAATAATAATTTATCTATACATTCATTTATAGTTGGACATTTACTTTTTTGTGGTTGGGTTAAACAATGCTCTGATATACTTTTTTTTTTTTTACATCTAAATTCTTCTTAGAAGCTAGAATTATTTTTTAATTGAGGATATAATATAAATTTTAAAAAATCTGTTAATAAAAAAAGGACTCCCAGAAGTTGTTCAAAGGTTATAAGCATTCTTTAGGGTCTTGCTATGTGTCTGCCTTGCGGCTTTTGGAGTTATTTGGCTTGATAGCTATGGTGCATTAGGAGCATCAACCTGTCATAGCTTTATCCTGTCCTGTGTATTCTTTGACACGGAGAATATGATGGAGGAACAAGGTCTCAGGAGGAAGGATGGCTCCGATTTGGCTCAGACCCTTTTGGAAAGTGTCCCTTGGTGCCTGTTCAGCACAGCAATATGTCTCATTGGATAGAAGTTAAAACTCTCTGCACTTTTCTCAAAACAAGGATGACACACTGGAATGTAGACTCCATAGATTTAAGGGTGGTGGTTTTTGTCTTGTGTCTTTATGGTTGTATCCCCGGTGTATAGAAAGCACGCATACATAATTGGTACTTGCTAAAAGTTTTTGAATGCGTGAATGCACTCTACTTCTAACAACAGTACAGATGGAATTTTGGGAGAGCTGGCAATTGCTTGGAAATCATTATTGCTGAGATTGCATGGCTAGGTCACTTCAGATAACTTTCCTCCCTTCAGAATCTATTGTTGTGGCTGTCCACATTGCTTACCCACATGAAAATGACTGCTGCCTGAGCATATTGCCTAATCCCACTGTCAAGGTCATTTGAAGTCAGAGTAACTCACCTCTTGTTGACCTCAGTTGCAGGTGTTCAACTCTGATTGATCTTCATTTTCTCAAGAAAATGGAGTGGGCAACACACCACTTTTGCATGGTTAGCGGATGTCTTTTTCAGAAATTAGATGAAAAAGGACTATCTTTTTGCCAAGAAAGGTGACTATATTGTAAAAAGGTGCTGGGCAATGTGACCTCTGATGATACCTGTCTAGAAGCAGAGGGTATTGCACATACCAGAGCCTGCTTGAAATCAGAGCGATATTTCCTGGGATTCGGATGTAGAAATATTTTTCTAATCAGGCAAATAAATGATGGCTTTGATAAGAATCCTTTTTGCTTTATTGGTCAGTTCATTCTACAGGAGCGTGAATTCTTCCTCATCCTTCAAAGGCTCAGAGTTTCCTGCAAAAAGCCTTGTCTGAGTCTTTTCTCCTCTGTAAATGCAGCTGTGATACTGTTCCTTGGGCTTTTGTAGCAGGCTGTCTGGTTTTTTGTGAGGCACTTCGCACACTGGATCATGATGATCTGTTCTCAGGAAACATAGCCTCATGTGTTCAGCCTCCTCACTTTACAGAAGCAAAGAGCAAAAGGTTGAGTCAGTTAGGGACAAAGTAGAGACTTGGAACATTAGTCTTCTCATGGGTCCCTGCCAATGCTTCTTTGATCTCATAAGAGGTGCAGATGTCCCAAATATTCAGAAGTAATAAGACCTCTCTAAGGATACTATTCATTGGCTAAGAATCAGCATGATAATTAATGCTTACATTGGAGACAATAGACAAATTGCTCCTCCTACAGATTTAGAAGAAAAACTCAGGCAAGATGAGCAACATTCTTGTGGTCACTTAATCACATATTAAGGATGTTTGTGAGGCATAATTTGAATCAATAAAGATTAACTGAAGGATATTTTTACAATGAGAATCAGAAACCTTTTTC